ATTGACCTTAAGCCATATTAGGGATCCTACTATAATTTGAGAGCAGACTCCTTAATTAACGGATATATTGGAGTCTCTGGGAAGCACAAGGAGATACAACTTGAGCCTGTGGGAGTGTCGCAAACGAAGCCGTCGCAAACCCTAAACCCTAAACCCCTAAATCCTAAACCCTAAACCCAAAATCCTAAACCCTAAACCCTAAACCATGCAGGTTGACGGCACAAATCCCACTGCGGGCCCTTGTCGCGCCTGCTTCTGGAGGATGCCGCTCCCTAGGGCTCCAAGTATACGAATATACGGCTTATGATAGAAATCCTGCATCACCTTAAAGACCCTAAACTATGAAAATTATGCTATATTCCTTATTATGGGTAATGCAGGAAGTATATACATATATATATAGGCTTTTTGGAGCCCCAGCCCAGGGACTCATGCAGGAACCTCAGGAAGCCGTCCCGCAAAGTGAGCATCTGCCAGTAGAGCCGGGTTAGGAGCGGCCGGGCAAATGCCAATGGGTGATTCCCTAAGCCCCGCACCTCAACCAGAATCTTTAGACTATGCCTCCAGGGACCTTATTATGGGGTCCTTAAGGGGTCTAGGGCCATAACTATGAGGTCCTTGGCAATGAACCTAAAACCTTGAGCCCCGAACCCTGCATGCCAAACCTCATACATTCAAACCTAAACGTTGCAACGTGCTCACACACCAAACACCACGCCCTGATATGTCCCTTAGTTGTGTGGTACACGTAACCCCCCAAAAAGATAGGGGTATGATGGATCCGACGCTGGAACCCAACAAATCACACCAAACTTCCTCCAACCCCTGAGTCACCTAAATCCTAGAGCTTACACCCTGCACCCAACAAAGACCCTCCAAAGCAAAACTCAATATAGTCCTATCAAAACCCTACTTGCCGATGAACCCGATGTAAATGATCCCCAAAGTATATTACATACAAGGAACCCCGTACATCTCTTTTCTAAACCCAAACCCTAAACCCCATCTCTGTACACATATGTACATTCAAGTATATTATAAATATATATATATATATATATATGCATATATATATGGGAGAACCACAAGCAACTCGTTTATAAGCTTTGGATGCCCCTGGGTCTCCGTCTGCTTCCGCCCCTTCGCTGAGCTGGACGGAGTAGGTCGACGAGGCGGCCACAGTAAAGCTCAACCTTGAAGTTACGGTTGGTTCATTTGTTGTTATCTTGCGTGTGTGTGTGTGTCTGTGTGTTTTTCCTTTTTTTTTCGGGGCCTGGTGGTGGGGTCTGCGCTTTTTCTGGTCATGTAGGGATTTGGGGGCTGTTGGTGTAGGCTGAGGTTTAGGAAAGGTATCGCCCCACGAAGTTTTCGCCACAACTGATACTTGATATCAGGGGGAGGGTCCCATGCAATCGTCGGGGGAAGTCATTACATCTTGGCTCGACACACAAACTTTGCACGCTCTATGTTGGCCGACGATTTCAGCGTCCGGCGCGACGCCCCGGTCTGCGTGTTGTACAGGCATGTTCCCTCACTCTCGCGCGAATGCCCCTTTCCGTGGCTGCCATCGGCCTGTATGTCATGCTGGCTTGACGGGTGAAAGCCGAGAAAAAGCAGCCCTTTGTGGCAGCTGACCGCCTTGCAAGCCCTACGAATACTGAAGAGTTGCTCGACGGCTGCTCAACATGTGCGTGCCTCTTCAGAACTTGACCTGTCGATAAGCAGCTCTTGCAAAGCCTGGAAGAGTCTAGGCATGTGTCGACCATACCTACTTCGCGACCGACACACCATCCATAGCGGTAGCAGGCAAGCCGCAGGCGGATCACGCAGCACATGCGTGACCTGCTTGGACATACGCCAAGGATCAAGTGGCTTAGCAGGTGGGTGAAAAGCGAAATTACAAACATCCACTTGTAACCCCGCATAAGTCTCCTGATCCTTCCAAAGATGTAAATAAGTTCTTAAGCATTGCCCGAAAGTCTTGCAACTATCGACTCCGACCGATTCTCAGCATCCTTCATAAACAAGCGAACCAGTTCTGCGATGGCACCGGAAGCGTTAGGAAAATGGGCTCCGGGCCTACGGACTAGGACCCCAGTTAACCTAGCAAGAACACGAGTAGTTTTGCAAGGAACCTCCGACCAAACAATCGGGAAAAGGGCCCACGGAAAGACCTGGAGAGCGGGCTGTCATGGGGCCTGGGTTTTGCATTTTATGTTTTTGGGCGTCTTTGGCGTTTTAGCATTATACGAAGCACCTATGCATGTGCATATATGTACGTACGTATGTGTGTATATATATATATATATATATGTATTTATACATGTGTGTGTGGTTGCAATTGCTTGTAAAAGGCCATGAGGGCCTATGAACATATAAAATGCATACACTCGAATACACGTGCACATGTATATATTCAACAGCTAAACTTACATGAGCACATGCACTGTTTATGTGCTTGCATGGTCATGGTACGAATAATCATCGCTAATTATGGCACCCTGTACGCAGTGGACACCCGGCCACATCCGAGCGAAACGAAAGAAGACAAAGTATTTCACGCACCGTGCATTTGTTTCCACAACTTGGACTCTCGAAAATCTTTGGAGCCGTGTCGCCCGCCGTGTTCTGATTTCCTTGTGTGTTGAGTTGGCACATGTCCGTGAGTTTCCACTTTCTTCCCAGTTTGAAGATTGCAGTATTACCTACCTATGCGGGGCTTCACAACAGTATACAACAATGCTGACAATCGCAGGAATTTACTGCTGCAAACTGGGAGCATGTACATACATAGTATGTTTTATGCAGTGCTACAACACACATTGTGTCAGGGGTGCACACTGCCTGTATGTACACAAATCAGTGAGTAGTGTGTTTTAGATTTAGTTTCTATTGTAACGCAGTGCTACGTATTTGGAGCCTAGGGCCTTCCAGTTTCACAGCAATACATAGCTTTCTGTTCGGTTCATGTGATTTAGGTTGCGATGACCCTTGAACAGTTGTTTTCCCAGTTGCCACCCCACCACTTTCACATTAACACGGTCCTCAACTCGCATACACTCTGCATCATGGTTTTCCCAGTCGAAGATGCGTTTTTGTCGAGATCCACAATTTTTCAAAATATGGATGTATCACCACGTTCGTCGAAATCAACAGCACAAGGCAAGCGAATAGCGGAAATCAGCGAAACACAACAGCACACACAGTGTATATCGTCATATCCAGGAAGCAAAGGCTCGGAAGCCTTGCATTATGACATACATACAATACATCAGTGTCACATAAGTCACATAAGCTGATCTCGAAGTAAAGAACGCAACTTCCCCAAAAAACTGCTGTAGTGCTGGCAGTAGCAATGTCGGATATTGCCAGAATTTAGCTTCTATTGAAGAGTGAAACTATGATGGAATGTCAAAATAAGGCTTTGAGGGTTCTTTCTGGTCCCTAAACCCTAAACCGCCTTCCATCCTTACGACTGTCCTTGATGTGTACATCGCGACGGTCTGTGTACAGCCGAGACCCTGTGAACCGTGAGAAGATACAGCACTTCTGTAAGCAGCTCACGTGCCCTGAACAAACCATTTGTTCATAGACAGGGAAGGGTGATGCTATACAACTTGTTCACAAAGCATAAACTCATACACTTCAGACGCAAAAAGACATTGTAATTACCAGCGTTTTCACAACATCGGCGAACGAAGTTGTGTTGTGTGCGAGAAATACAGCAACTCGACGTGTTCTTCCAAGGAGGATAGACAAAGTGGTAAAGTTTGTGGAAATGGTGCCAGCGCGCGCTTGGTTTTTGGTGTGTTATGTGCATGGTGAGTGGGATTGGGGTTGGGGGTGGGGACGGGACGCAGTAGAGAGAGGGGAGGGGGGAGGGGGGGGGGGGGGGGGTGTGCGGCTTAAACCGGGTTTATTTGGAAGCTGGTGCTTGCACTCTAGATAGGGAAACAGTGACCTAAATCCCTTATATATAAACAACCTGGAACGCCTAATCGTATGTTTATTTCCGTATGTGTTGATATTTCCTAAGGTTTGGAAAATCACATATGGAAATCATGTCTTTCATAGATCACGTATAGAAATAAGTGTGTCGTATGGAAATCCTGTTCTGTGCTTCTGCTTTGAAAGTTCTTGCTCGAGCTGGACATCGTTGGCCCATTGCTCAGGCGGGGCCGTCTTGGGGGCTGCAAATATTAAATAAATAAATAAATATATATATATATATATATATATATATAGCGAACTGCATACTGTTAAATGATATATATATATATATATATATATATATATATAAAGCTATGTATACATATATATATATATATGTAGCCAATTGCATACACATGCATACTCGACCCATCCTATGCACATGTTATACATATGTATAATAAATAAATATATATATATATATATACAATAGATGTATGTATATAAATATATATAGTATATACACATGTAGCATGAATGTACACAGGTAGATACACATGCACAACTACATTCAGACATGGGTAATCGTGCATAGCTAGAGCTGTAGACATATGCATATATATATATATGTATATATCCTAGATAGGACATGCTATGTATATACATATCGTGTGTGTGTATCTAAACATTTGCATATTACCTGCATGTGCATACCATAGAAGTATCATGTAGAGATATAATGTTAAGAAGAGGATGAAGAAGTTCGTCTCCCTGTAGAACTGCATGTAGCTACCTGGCAGGGGCTGCCGGGACATCGCTCACGAGGTATCCCTGGCTTCGGTTTTGCTTGACTGTATGTGTGAGAGTGTGTGTGTGTGTGTCTCTGCGCGATTGTGCGGGATTGATGCTTGATACGTCATGGTGTTAATGCAGCTTTGGCTTTCGTGCCATGAACATGGTGGTGGACATGCATGATGTGTACTGCATGCAAGCATCATCACATGTGGTATGCAGTTTCAACCCGCAGGGTGCAGGGGATGGCAAGCATGAGCAATCGCTCCGGTTCAGCAATGTCGGTGGAGGAGGAGCTGCCACAGTCTGGCTTGAGCTACGTGTGGTTCAAGCTCGAGGGACTTTCGGAAAGGGGTGCAGGAGGGCGACTTGTAGTCGCCCCGGCGACTCTGACACGTCAAGATCTGGATTTCAACTGGGATATCATTGCAAGGGCGATGGAGTACATGGGCGCACGCCCAGGGGTGGACCAGCTACAAGACGAGGTTGACTTGTTCTTTCAACGTTCCCGCCAGAAGGGCAAGAAACCGGTCACTCGTGACTAGGTTGCATGATTTCAGGAGGCTCAGTGGCTGCATGTATGTCCTGTACGAACGATACTTAACCAAGGTGATTTCTGTCGCCAGCAAGCCTGGCGAGTTCGGAATCTGATTTCCATGTTCAACCGGATCGTCAAGCTGCCTCACCGCCCGAATGAAGAGGGTATTCGAAAGATCTATACCCATTTGGGCCTGGAGATTCCCCCTGGTACTTTGCCTGCAAATGACCTAGCAGATATGATTTCGAAGGTTGTATACCACCTCCCGAAAAATTTTCGCTTAGGACGGCAGCCGCGATCCAATGACGCCCTGGATGCAGGATCTGAGGAGGCCAGGTGGTTCGCTTCAGTCGTTCAGGAACGGTTTTGGGTCATGCGGCAGGTCGGCTATGATGAGTGTGTGGAGTCGGAAGCTGGCACCGACGATGAGTTGATGGAGCCCGAACCCCTGGTTCCCGAGGCCCCAGAGAAAAACAACTCCCCTCCTGAGCCTCCCAAATCTCGCTCGACTTCTTCCGGAAGCTTCGCATGAGTTTATGCTTGCTTCGTTATGTGAGTATGAGTATGATTCCTCATGTAAAAAGCCTGCCATCTCTATTTGTGTCATCCCAGGAACCCTGGCATCGGCTCCGTCTGTGGAGGATCTGGTCACCCCGAAGCACGAAGCAGGCCCTGGGAAATCCCCTGAATCAGGGGAGAAGTTGGCTGCACCCAGTAAGCGTGAGTTGTTGAAAGCTTTGAATGAGCAGCAGCACCACTTGTCGTTGCTGCTTATGGCAAAGAAGCGACGTGCAGAGGGAAAGCCAGCGGGTGGCATCCTGCATGCAGCTAGCAGCTAGAACCGTGAGAGTTGTTATAACATGCAGCTGGTGTTCCGACTTTTGCGAGCACCGTGAGGTAATATTTCGACGCAAGAAACTCAAGTGATGGACGAGGCTTGGATGGATGCGGCTGCAGCTGGCCTCTATCACGATATCAAGGCCAAGGAGCTGGCGGCTGTTGCCGCCAATGTCTACGCGGAGGAGACTCCGCGCAGGTTCGGGGACAAACGACTTCGGACTGAGACAGCTGAGATGCTGCCGGCGAGCAAATCGCCGAAAAGTGAGCCAGCATTGAAGTTGAAGCCCGTCAAGAAGGAGCCCTTGGAAAAGGCGCCAGTGCCATCAATCGAGAAGGAGCCGTTGAAGCCATTGCAGGAGCCCCCAATCAAGAAAGAGCGGTTTGAGGGGACCCCAATCAAGAAAGAGCCGTTTGAGGAGACCCCAGTCAAGAAGGAACCCCCAATCAGGGAGGAGCCCCCAATCAAGAAGGAGCCCGGCATCAAGCATGAGTTTGAAGATGAAGGTGATCAAAAGGCAGGGCTTGCTCCCGTGGCCGAAGCAGAAGCAGGACATGATCTCGCAGCAGCAGTTCCCCCCGAGCCCAAGGATCCACCAGCCGTGGAAACAACAGCAGCCATGAAGGCTGCAAGCCCTGAACGGCCTGCCCTGGTAAAGACTTCCGGTGTTGTGTCACCAACTGAGCAGAACAAGCTGACGAAGAAGAAGAAGAAAGAAGACAAGAACCCGACAGAGGAAGAGGCTGCAGAGAGTAAGAAGACCCGCCCAAAGCCCAAAACGAAAGCCACCCAGGATGCGAAGAAGACAGAAGAGGCTGCAGTTCCCAAGAGAAAGCCCGGCCGCCCCAGGAAAAATCCGCCCGAAGCAGAGTCCAAGCCCGAGCCAGCCAAGCCTAAAAAAGAAACTCCCAAGAAGCGCAAGGCAGCGGATGATGAGCCGAATAGTCAGGATACCAGGTTTTACTCACCCAAGGTGACGAAGCCAAATCCAAAAAGCAAAGCAAAGGCCAAAGCAAAAGCAAAGGCGAAAGGAAAAGCGGCAGCAAAGGCAGCCAAGGATGCTGGTGACAAGAAGACAAAGGGGGCGGCCCAAGATTCCGGCCTGAAGAGTCGGAAGAGTTGTGCTTATCATAAAGCAAAGGCCACTGCTATGAAGGAAGGTTTGTCGAAGGAGGAAGCAGTGGTTCGGGCCAAGAAAGCCACTTGGTTGAATCGATTGGCAGCTCTTGTTTCTGGAAATAGAAAGAGAGATAAAGAGAGTGAGCGATAGAGAGAGAGGTAGAGAGAGAGACAGAGAGAATAACGAGAGCGAGATAAAACCCTAGAGATAGAGAGAGAGAAATAGAGAGAGAGAGAGAGAGTGGGTGTGTGTGTGTGTGTGTGTGTGTGTGTGTGTGTGTGTGTGTGTGCATGTTTGCGCTTGTGTATGTGGGCATAAACTATTTCAGACATGCCATGGGGGATGTTTTGCTGTTCTGCATATGTTCTTGATTGCAACCCAAGGCTTATGCTGAGCAAGAGTGATTCTGATTGTATGACAAGCGGAAGCTGAAGCAGCTTTTGGCTGACCGATGTGTTCATGCACTCACTTTACTTAGTGCGGTAGGGTTTAGCTACGTACATTGGGAGTGCTGCTGCTAGGGGAAAAGCAGGCGGCCAACCCAATCAAGGCAAAAGCCTGGATGAGCAAAAGGACGCATTACGACGACCGGTGAAAAATCTCGTATCTCCGCCTGCAGTGCTCTGTGCATAAACAGACCTGTCTTTCAAGCATTTCAAGATTTTCTCGCTATCGTTCTACCCTATCTGTGCCAGGTCCTTTCATGGTCTGTGCTGGGCAACCTGATTTCGACCTCCCTGGACCAGGACCACAAGCCCCTAAATCCCTAAAACCCTATATAATCATATAACTTGAAAAACGATCCTGGGCAGGATCTTCGAAAACCCGTGGTGCTCTTCGCTGTGAAGATTACGATCCTATCGAGGCCCCTCCTATTTAAAAACCCCAAACCATACAGCCTCCGCACTCTGCATCCTCTGCAGGCCGAACGGGATGCTGTCGCTGCCTGCTTCGATGCCGAGGCAATGGCAGTGGGATGTGACAATATATGTACTTTATAAAGCTGTAGAGGCACAAGTGCACGAGCCAGGATACACTTGTAAAAGGCATTATGACCAATCGTAAACATCTCAATGCAATGCTTCCGCCTATAGTACTACTAACCCACTGCACTCATTGATGCTGTAACAGGTGAACAATGGCTGTGGCTCGCCGTGCTGCTGCAAAAGGCCCTGCCTGACCTCTCTTGCATGGGGTTCGGTGTTTCGTGGAATGTTGCGAGATGTGCTTGACCGATCGACAGTGTTTCGTGGCTTCACGTGGCAGCCTGCACATGCGCAAACATATAAGCCAGTATTGTGGTTCTAAATAAAAGCACACATGCAGTATCTAGAGGTGCAACGGATTCCCTGCACGGTGCAATGGATTCTCAACAGCTGCCGGAGTCATCTTTATTGTCTCGGCTCATTCATGTTGGAGCCCCGAAGGTTGCCTGGATGATATCGGCCGATTTGCTTGACAGGTCTATCCCATGAGCCTCTAATGACATGCCCAAACCCTGAAGTAATTAAACCTGACTAAAAAAGCCCAACCGAAAGCTCCCTGTGCTGCTTGCCTAGGTACTCATAGCAGTGGTGATGCTGCTACTCTGGTCCACGAACTTACCGCAGGCCAAATCCTTTGACTTTCTGGACCTTTTTTCGGGGGTCGGCAATGCCAGCCAATATTGGAGCCTTAACAGTATATGGTCTGTGCGAAGTTATGTAGGGTCTCAGGTTACGGGTATTATTGGGCTACACCCTATCCAGGAAGTCCAAGCAAAAGAGAGTTGCGACCATTGAGATTGACCGGGGTGCCTCCATGGATTTTTTGTCCAGTGGAGGTTTCGCGCGGCTTGGCCCAGCCTGGTTTTGTAGGTGCACCCACAGCAAAACACGATGTGCATTTCAGATCAATTATAAGGCCTGTGCAATCAGAATCTGAGGCTTGTGTTATGGTGCATTATGCGGGAAAAGAAGACGGCTGTGAACTTGATGGGGCCGTGTTGTTCATCCTGGGGTGTGCCCAATAGGGGCACAAGCCTACGGTCCTTTCTGAACTTCCGGGGTCAGGATGGCTACACCAGTGTATCCTCAGCGAATATGATGATCAGCCGGACTCCATGCTGCAAGTATGTGCCTGTATTGCATGTATCATACATATATGTTGTAGAGATAGAAGAAGCCATGCTTGAAATCATCTAAGGGTTGTTCTTGCAATCTTGCTGATGACGGCTATGCACACCATCTGGCTATTAGAACACCCGTTCTGTTCGCTCCTCCACAAACACAACCGGTTTGAGTGGCTCTGCAATTCGGTGCTCTATGCAGCTCGTTCGTATCATAAGACAGTGCATGTGCTTCTAGATACAAACCACCTGAAGAAAACTGAGGTATATAGCCAAGCCTTCTGGCTTATGCATTGGGGGAGCGCCACTCCGAAGCGAACTAAGATGTACTCGAATTCTCCCCAAGTCAAAACCTTGGATCGTGGTGTGCTCAAGAAGAAGCAGAAGCAATCCAAAACCAAAGCCCGCACTACGCGATCCTCAGCTGCAAGTAGTGCAGACTCATACGACCTTTAGCGATTGCATAGGATATCTGTAATAGAACAACATCGCCATTCTGCCAAAGGACGGTGGATGGACTGTGAGGGTGTCGAGCGCTTCACGGCGACCAGCAGCCTGAAAGATGCTGGGTTGCCAGGTTTGCACTTAACCATACATAGCCCTATCCCGAGTCTTGTAAACCTGAAGCCCTTTAGTATCGATTATCCTCCGTCCAAAAACCTATAGAGCTCCTATCCCTACACCAAGGGCGAGCAGCTTCGTGGTCCAGAGGGCATCTAGGTTATGCTGAGAAGCTCAATCTTTTTAAGGGTGGTGAGCTACTGTAGTGGGAAGATATACTATATAACTGCTACCAGCAGCTACTGTTGTCCTGCAACCATCAATAACAAACAACGGGCCCCAGAACGCAGCTTCCTCCCTGCCCAATATATTCGGGGTTTTGGGAATACGGCTCATAAGGACCCATAGCTGTACTATATATTCCCCTTATGCAGAACTGCTACTAGTAGGCTTTGTAGGGTTTCGTGTTGCCTATATTGATACGGCCTGGCTCCGAATCATGGTTGGTATACATTCGGTGGTAGTTAATTATAGTTGATATACTCGGGTTGATAGGCTAGGCTAGTCTGCATACGTTGTGTACTTCCTATGTGGTCACCAGGTCATCCATCCGTCAGAGTGATGCAATACTCGTTGCATGGGTTCGGAGTCCATGTCGGTGGCATCTGGAGTCAGTGGCTCCGATAGACGCCTCATAGGGCGGGGTCGTGCCGCGTTGTAGGCCTGGTAATCTTCGCGCTGATGTAAATCTCGCACGATTTCCATGCGATTCCGGTTCTGCAGTGTCCACGTGTCTGCGTGGATCCATTGTGCCGGTTTCCTGTTGCCGGGCTTCGAAGCACCTTGCTGCCCTTTCTGGATTTCCATAGGCAAGCCGTGCTCCCGCAAGATCCGAATACTAATCCATCCCTAGCTAGACCCCTAACTATATTAAACCCAAGTACATGCTTAACCCGGCCCGGAAATCTAGCAAATAGAAGATCCTCATATCCAGTCGCTTGTGTAACACTATAGCACTGTTCTGAGATACCCGACCAATTATATTACCGAGATCTCTGCTAAATCCCCAGAAAGACCTTAAAACCCCCAATCCGGCAGGAGCTTCAAATTGGGTCAGTCTTGGAACTTCCGAGGTGGTTGACATATTTACAGGGTATACAGGGCTTATATGGGTATACTTGTAGAGGTAGTGGAGGAGGTGTAGAATTCCCTAGGTTTGTCCCGATTTCTGCAACAGACCTATAGAACCTGTATCTGCTGAGGGTCTATCCAGTGGAGTTTGCCAAGCAGCTTTTCGACGCCTTCACTACGGACTCTACTCCTCATCGTATGGGCTGCCTACGTAACAAAAACACTTGCAACCCTGACCTGTCCGATGTGGAGTTGTTCGAGGCTCTGCCAATGAACGATATGTGGGAAGATGCACAGATGCCCGCAGTCTACTTCTATTTGAGGCGCAATAAGTATCTTATGGTACCTCCTTCTTGGGAAGATGCAATCAATCGCTTTGATACAGAGTTGCATTCCAAGGTGTCTTGGGCTTATGATGTTGTAGGCTGGTGTAATTCTTTTCCTTGTCGTCTTGTGACTATCTCCGACAGGATCTAGCTAGAGTCATGCATGAATCGATCAACAAAGGTAAACTGCTACATGGACCTCAGGGAGGAGTACAACCGTCTATGTACTGCTGGGCAGGGCTGAGCAATTAGTTGCACCGACCGACAGGGCTCCAGCCAATCTTCCATGATGGTTCATCACGCAGATCGATGTTCGCCGCCTGCAGGAAATATGGTGACTGGCATGGGGTTGCAGTGTTATATCTAGACGACACAGATTAGTCACGCACGCTTTTTGGGTTGCACGCGCGCTTTTTGATTTTGGGCCATTGGGTGGGAACGGGGTGGGCGCAACTCTCGCGCAATCTCGCGCAACTCACGCGCAATCTCCCGCAACTCTCGCGCAATCTCAAAATCCGTGTGTGAGCCGTTTTGTCACGCACCTTTTTTGAGTTGCACGCGCGCTTTTTACTTCCCGCACACCTTCTACCACTGTCTGCAGACCTTGGCCCAGGCCTTTGGGAGGCAACTTGGGAGGCTGATGGGTGTTGGGAGTGCATCACGGGCATGCTCGGTTTTAGGGGGGCAGGAATTTGAACATATGAGCATCAGGGGGCTTGGGATTGCTGAGCTTGTCTAGGTCATGACCCTGCATTTCAGTCATGTCAAACGCAACAATATACACTTTGTGCGTGCCATCTACAGTGTGCCGGGTGTAGCATGGCCTCTTTGGCATCGCTGGGCACCCTGACTGACGGTGTCGCTATGGTTGCTAGATCCTGGACCAACATGTCTGACATCCCCGAAGAGGAGATTGATGATCAGATCAAAGCTCTTCGTTAGCAATTGTCGTTTGAGACTCACACATCCCCTCGTCCAGTGCTCTTCCTTGATCCACTACCCCAGGCTGCTCAAGCCAATTTGGCTCTGCTTCAGAAGCAGTTGGCTGCTGAAGACTCGGACCCAATTCCGGCTGCTGTGCCAGG